GCTGGGATTAAACTCTCCACTCATTACCATCTAGAGACAAGGAATGCACATTAAAGACCAGAAATATGTAAAAAATAAAAATTCATAAACAGTCACCAGTGATGTCATGTGATGATAAACCCCCGTGCTGGTCACATCTGTGCATCTATTATTGCTCAAAGTTATTGAAATAGAGGCGGGTGGAGTTTCCTGTTAGAGCGAACCGTCGAAGTTGAAAAAAAAAAAAAGCTGGTTGTTGTGTTAACAGTAAACTACACCTCCAGTATGTAAAAATCAAAAAGCTGAGTCACTAAGAAAGCAGCATGGGCCGTACACAAACACATCCCGATTAAGATTAAAATCATGTGATGAATGGAAGGTTTAGCTACCTGGTTTTTCATATCCATATCTATCCTCAATCTGATCCATCTTTGGACAACACGAGGCCGATACAGGGTTCTCTGGTAATGTTTAGTACTACCGATACACCAAGGCTCATAACCTTTAGACAGAGCTTTTATTTCCGCTCAGTATTCTAAAGCTAAACAAGCAAATCTAATCTGATGGTGAAAGATAACTGCACAGGAACCCCCTGTGCTCTCCACTCACACACCAAAAGGAAGCTTAGGCTTTTTCTCTGTTGTTTTTCCTGGTTTCTGGGCGCTGTACTGATATTTCACGGCCTGGACGAAAAAACACTCTCTGATTCTTTAAAATCTTGTTGGTTTTTTTTCTTCCTTTTCAATTTCTTATTGCCCAGCTTACAGAGAGAGCAAAACAAGGGTTTTTGTCTAGCACACAAATGTGCTCTGTGATACCAAACTCCCATCTGTGCCTGGGAATACACACATAGTCTAAACCCCTGATTTGGCTGAATAAACTTTCCCACCCTATAGCTGCCTGTGTTCAACGGTTAGTGTGTCCGTCGATCAGTGTGTGTATGTGCATCCCTACAAAGCAAAGGGCCCCTTCATTCCCCTCTGGGCACTTGGTAACGAGGCTAACGCCGCATCAGACTGGAATGACTGAAAGAGCCTAGACAGGAACACTACTCTGAAAGTAATCCCCGACCCCCCCCCACCCATCCCCATAGCCAATTTTAAAAATATGACACGGATTATATCAAGGGCTCGAATCTGAGAGTCAAGCGGTGGCACCAAAGCACGAGGATTTGAAAAAAAGCTGAGAAGCCCTCAGAATGAGGCCAGAAACAAGACGATGGGGAGAGCCTGAGCAAAGTAACTCAGAGAGAAAAAAAAACATGTTCTGTATTTGCCGGTACCCGTTTGCGAAACATTTACCCAGAGAAGAAGAGAAAGTGTGTCAGGTCGAGTGTAACACCCTTCACCCCTCCTCTCAACCCCCCCCCCCTTCCTCCAAGGCCAGCTTTGGTAAACGCGTCCTGAGCCTGAGAAGTGATGCCATCGGCCAGGAACACGCACAGCAACTGTTAGCGTGTGCATTGGGCGGCGTGCGTGTTGGGCTCCAGCTGTGCGGTGGGTGGCGTGCAGAGCATGTGCAGGAAGCACGCCGGCGGAGGCCGTGGCAGGCCGTTTCGGGCCCTGTCAAAACTGCCGCCGTCTCACCGTGAGCTACGACAGCGGGCCCCACGTGAGGGAGGGCTAGCCCGGCCTCACGAGCGGCATCTGACGGCACAGACAGGGGAAAGGTGAATGAAAACTGGCAGCTTAGATGCGCGGTGTTCGCGGTGGCCAAAATAAAGGGGAAGATTCGGAACTGGTCGCGGTGCCGGCGGGTTGCCATTGGCTGCACTGTTTGGCCCCACTTCATTCACCCTGCTAGCAGGTTAGAACTACAGCACTGCCTTTCACATCTGCTTGCATTAGGCCACTCCAGTGCCAATAAGAAAAGCAGAGAGAGAGCCATCAGGTCCTGTTTATGAAGATTAAACTTTCACCTGCTTGCAGCAATCAGTTGCTCAAGTTTCCCACCAGACCCAGACCCAGCCCCCTGACCCTTCCCATGGGTGATGGGTTAGCGTTAGGCATATCCTAGCCTTGCTTGTGATGGCATAAACAAGCCAATATAACCCCAAGGTAATATCTGACATCTCTAAGACATACTTTTTATTTATTTATTAACTCCTGTGGAAACTATCTCATGCTCCAAAAAGCCCTGATGCCACTTTTATGTTTATGTTTTACTGAAGATGGAGGCTGCTGCTGAAACACAACTTTAGGTTGTAGGGGCCCAACTGGTCCCCATACGACCACCGTGGCCCGGCATTTTCTGCAAGGCGACCCGCAGCAGGGCATCCACAGGGCGGGTGTGGGAGTGGGGTGACATGCTATCCCACGCGGGTGTCACGGGGCAACGTAAAATAATAACCAGCTGCTCTACCGTTGGTTTGAAAGGGGAAGTGGGTGGACCAGTGAACGGCCACAGGCCTGCGCGGCTGCCGGTGTCGCGGCTATGGACGCGTCCGTGGGGCCTGCTGGTCGGATGGAGCAGCGGGGACGTGGAAAGGAGGAGGGGAGGGAGGGAGGAAGGGAGGGAGGAAAGCGGCCAGAAAGAAAGGAAAAAGGAAAAAAAGCACTGGAAGCGCTCATGTGGGACCGAATCATCAGAAGAATCAGAACCACATTCTGTCTTCTCGTCGCTATCCCCCTTCGTTTCAAATCTCTTCCGCGTCGATTCGTCATCGGCTCGGAAAACCGTTGAGCTTCCACGGGCTCCATCATTGATCTGTGCACTTGCTACACAGGGAGCCCTCTCCTCTCCTCTCCTCTCCTCGCCCCACCCATCGCAGCGTGAGCTACGGTGCAGATGGAGGCTAACGGGGCTCCCATTCATGTTTCACCATTGCCCCCGGGGGCTCGCGCGGACGGCCATTTCTGGGCCATTCCACGGTTTCTTTTTACACCGACGCGCAAACAAATTAGCGGCGAAAAACCCAAACTATGTCCGAGGATGACGCGAGGAGGGAGAGGGGGGGGGAGGATGGAGGAGACGCGGGGTGGTGGTGGGGAGGGGAAGAGGAAAAAAAAAAGAGGCACACACGGTACTCCAATCTCCGACCATCATCACCATCATCACCAGCAGCTGCGAACATCCCCAGAAACGCTCGTGCAGGCTGCGGCTGCATCCGCCGCCTCGCGCTCCACCTACCTGCAAATTACATGTCCGTCCGGCGGAGAAGCGGCGGGCGGACGGTGTCGCGGTCTGCGACGGCCTATCCGAGGGTTTTTTTTTTTTGTGTGTTGTTGTTGTTGACCGTGAGCGTATTTTTTCCCCGTCTTCTGTTCCGACTGATGCTCCAGTTTCGCCCCGTACCAGCCCTGTGCTAATCCACCCCACACAAAGAGCAGAAAATGGCTGCAAGTGCATACTCTTAAAGGGCCAGACACACTGGGGCGATGGGTGAGGATGAGCACCCCCCCTCCACCTCCCCCCATATGTTGATCTCGCTCCTCTGAGTTTTAATTTCTCTGTTCTATTCTACATGTAGCAAAGATGATGAACCACATTTAATCTGTGCTATATCGCATGATGATCATCTTTGGATTTTTTACACAAGAACAGATCGCCCTACTGCCATGCTGTGGTCTTTAATTTTAGTTTTTTTTAAATACCCCTTTTTATTTAATGAACCGTCATAGTGGCGATTGTATGATTCTGATAAGGCTTTTGTGGCAGTTCCCGGAAACTAGACTGGATCAAATGCCATTCATTTGATTACAGACACTTATTTTAAGCGTTTTGTTTGACAAATTATGTCACAAGTGGGTGTTTTTCCTTATCAGAATATCCTTAATGTGTCCAAGAGCGAGTCTGTGTTTCTTTGGAGTTTTTTCAATGTATTCTTTTTGTGATTGTTATACAAACAAAGCACAATGTAGAAATTTAAGGATTTATTTATTTTATTTAAAGTATTTGGCTGTTGCACACTATAGCAGGCTCTAAAAGTAGGTAAATATGTCAGATGAGCAGCAATACAAAACACAATATATGGCCTCACAAACTACCACAAAACCAAAGTTTAAATTGTATGAAAAACCCCCATGACGTAAAAGTTTGACGAACCATCATAAACCGCAGTACTTACAACTAAAGTTGTTCTTCTCTATCTCCCATTTCACTGTAAAGGGATAATGGTCTTGTTGTCTTCACAGTGTTGCTTTGTATCATTTAGGTTTACATGAACTAATTGATGCTCAATAAAATGGCCACTACATCTCCCCAGTGGGGTTAAGGAGCCAGGTCTTCTTTTTTCACCTATGTAAATGAGCAGCAATATTTTTTCATTTAATTTCTATTTGATTGATTCTATAGTTTTTTTTCAACTACTAGTGTCATCAAGTGCTCTTGAATTGAATATGTTTTTTTTTTGTTGATAAATTGTGAAATGAAATAAGCTCAAAATAAGACCTACATGGCTAATATGACCACCATACCTGCACACCACTCTCCTCTAGTGGGGTGACTGTAATTCCCTTCCAGAGGGGAGTGAATAATCACTTTTGATCCACCTCATCGTCATTATGTCAGTTGTGTGTTTTGGTTGTGAAACATTGTCACTGTAAGTGCTCTTTATAAAGTAGCCAACAATATGCTTTCACTAGCTGCCCTAATAGCTTGCAGTTAAAAAAAGAAAGAAAGATGGAAAGCAAAACCATCTCACCGAGGCTGCATTTGGAGTTTTCTTCAATTCAGACCAAAGAAATGTGTTAAATTGAGCAGACATGTCCCATAGGTAGAACGTTTTCAGCTTGCTCGTTGACCTTTTTGAAGTGGCTTTGATTAGTTGCTAATGCCAAAGGCATGTATTGATGGTCAATGATACCTTGTTTGATGTCACACGGATAGAATCTATGCCTGTACACGCAATGTATTCAGAGCATTGAGAATGTTGCTGTGTGTTTTGATGAGAAATGGAAAAACTGAACACCAGTACAGCACAGCCGGACAACAGCTGCAGCATACTAGCACATCTGTTGAGATTTATTCGATTTGGAAGCCAAGCAGTAAATTGAGAGGCTCCAATTTTGTGGTATAGCACAAAAAAAATAAAGAAAGTTTAAAAAAACTTGCTTTGCCGCAAGCTTGTAAATTATCTGATTAACCAATTTTTCCGCAAAGTCTATTCAGCAATTATCTATTTAATGAAGACATGTTAAAAAAAACCTGTACCATTATGTCGCAGTGGCTGTGGGAAGTGACTGTGTAAGTCGTCTCAGGATATGTTACAGTTATAGAGTTTAAAGTGCAAAATCCACAACCGATCTTGTGTTTTTCAATCTCCCCTCATTTCGTCTGCGAAAACCTTGTCAAGAATTAGGCGAGGAGTCAATAAATAAATAAATAAAACTTTGTCTGAGACCATCTAAACTCAGTGGCTTGTCACGTCTGAGAGGGAGGCCAGTTCGTGCAGGAGGAGTGCAAAGGATGGGCGATCTTCTGGCTTCTGGGGGAGAGATCAAAAAGAAACATGTCACAACGCTGCGTTTTATTGCTTCAACACTGTGCGATTCAGCTGTTGTTTTGCTTCAGATGTGTTGAGCTGCTGCCCCTACCTCCTTCCAGCACCACTCCATCAGCACGTGGACAGAGTCCGGAGCCAATCGAGGCTTCAGGAGCCTCAGGCCTTTGTTCAGGGACTCCACCACCTCCGAGTTGGAGCGGTTCTCATAGGGAAGACGGCCTTCGTTATACACCTCCCACATGAGGACACCTGAGCAAAAGTGAGTACAGATAGTCTCATGGCTATCAGACCAACAAACCTTTAAGTCAGTTAGGGTCATTTTCTAGTCCAGTCAATCCCTGTTATCCCAGCTCACCACATGTTTTTGGTTGGTGGGAAGGAGCCAGAGTAGCCGGAGAGAACCCACTCAGGAACCCTCTTTCTGTGAGGTGACGGTGCTAACCACCATGCCTCTATGCCTCAACCAATCATTGCTTTCCCAAATTAAACAAGTCTGGCACGCCTCTTGTCACCTAAAGAAATCTTCCATATGGATTCTTTGAGATCTTGGCTTCCCAAATTGCAAACTACAGTCTATATTGGTCAAACAAACTGTGATTCACTATGAGAATCACTATATCTTTTATGATGACAAAACATGATAATGTAAAAAAAAAAGTGCATTGAGGGGAAAAAATTAGCCTATGCAGCTGAACCCCATTACAGCTTAGTCTTGTGTTGGCCTCTCATCTCCCAAAGGTCCCTTCAATTTTGTTTCTTTAGCTTTCGATCACCCAATGAACTTTTCTATGGAGGTCAAGAAAAAGAGCCTTGGGAAAGATAGGATTTTCTGACAATTGGACTCTGTGTTATGTATGTGGCAAATTAGCCACTTCACAGGCATTATGCAAATGCACACCGTGGTGATTTACTCAAAAAAGGCATTACAGGAGGTTCGGGAGCATTATACCACTGGAGGGAGAATAAGTGCCTTTGACCTTTAAAGTGTGTTAATCCTCAGCAAATTTTCTGCAAAAAATAATAAGATAATGGAACAAGTAGCAAAGAAATTGTCTAAAAACAAAAAACAGGTCTGTAGTCTAATGTTTAGGTACCGGTAACATTGACTTAACCATCACACCGAATAAAAAGAAAGAAAACACACACTTGATCAATGATAACATCTCCATAGTCCATCTCCCAGCAGCTTGAAGGTATTGAGACCACAGCTGCTACTGTATCACTGGACAGCAGATGGTGCAAATGACTTTTAAAGTGATCACTTGGGGTGAATCAATTGTTCCAGTAGTCACCAGAGTCCAGTTATTTTTGCCGCTGACAGAGATGCTGTTATACTTTGCACATCAGCTTTAGATGTCTCCTTTAACCACACCGGCTTGTTTTGTTGTTATGTTGTGCTACAGTTAAATATCTCATAAGGGCTGCTTGCAGATGAGAACAACCACAGGTTTGTGGTACCAAGGGTTGGGTTTTGCCCCTCAAGCACTGTGGTTTGCCTTTTTTAAATTCTATCTTGCTTTCTTTCAATAGTTCACAAGAGCTAAGAGGTCAGTTTCCATCTGTTCTTAAGAGTTTTTCCCTATCCCTTTTAAAATGAGTTAATAACAATTTCACCCTGCTTGAAGATAATGTAGTACAGGCGTCTAAATCTTGATCATGCTTGTTATACAAGATAGGTTTTCGTGACATGTGCCACAGAAGTCATGCTTGTGTAACACATGACTGTAAAAACGCAAGCAAATCAAAGCCTCTGCATCTTAACCCAGTGAGTTTTCCCTGGAAGGTAACAAAGCTGCTACTTGTTTTACTCCCTGTCCTGCCCATGCTCCCTTAACTATAAACTTCAAGGAGATCTGAGCAAATCCCAGCAGCTGGCGTAGCACCGCGGAAAAAGCAACAGAATGCAGTCTCACGCTAGGAGTATTAGGTTAGGAAAGTCCAGGGGCCCATTGCACCTCTGTGCTCCTCTTTCAGAGGTTGAAAATAACAGAGTTGTTGTGCATCTATAGCACGCTATGGAATCCTTCCATGGCTTTGACACTAAACCGCAAGAGGGAGTACAAAATCTAAGTTTAAAACCGACAGCAGAGGTTGAGAAATGATGTAAAGCTTTAAATTTGATCCTGAACCCCCTGTTTAACTAAAATTAAAGCAAAGAAAATATTTCAAATTTCTAAGAATCTATTGTTTCCAGATGGTGTTTGGAAGTTGTTTTATTTATTCATTAGAGTTTTGAATAGAACTTAAGGCGGCAGATAATGTGTATTATAAGCATTCCCAGCCCGGGGTGGTCAGACCATGACGGTTTAACCTTTTAAGATAAAAGATTTTCCTTAAAGTCACTGTCTGCTACAGATGATATAAGCCATTGCATTTTAAGAACGTTTATAAAGATATTACATTTAACTATTCTTCAAGAGAGCTGTGAACCCTACCCCCAAGTTTACTAATTATTCTCTTGAATTCAATTTCATGTTTTGTTGCCTTCATTCAGAATTTCCTGTAATATGTGATAAGCGAACACTTATGAAGAAAAACGCAATAGACTTTTCTGTTTCAACATTTGAGGCCCCTTTATAATAAACGTAGGATTTAAATTCTATGGATCTTTCATTGAATATTTTAAAGAATGTTTTTCTTCTTTGGGAGATAAAATTGTACAATAATTTGCTGTGGCTTTAGATGAAGGAAGTGTGCAAAACCAGTGCAGTCCAAATCAAATTCCAGTTTGGTTTCTTAAAAACTCCAACTGTAGAAGTGATATTTTATCACTGTTAAACACTGTTTGCAAATAATCGATCTGTAAAAGGCTCACAAGCACAACCGGGAGACATAAAGATACGAAGAAGACAGTAAATCAGACGAAACAGCCGAGAGAGAGAGGCGAACGCACCAAATGACCAGACGTCTGACTTGCTGCTGAACTTGGAGTACTTGATCACCTCCGGGGCTGACCACTTGATAGGAAACTTGGATCCCTGGGAGCTTGTGTACTGGTCATCGAGAACAAACCTGCAGCGCATAGGGAGTGGAGAGAAAACTACAGATGTTTACATGAAGGGGCCTTTAAGGTATGATAGCGTTCCACATGAGGTTTTTTAACAAAAGCGCACCTTGTCATGCCAAAATCTGACACCTTGACCTCATTGTTGCTCGAGACCAGACAGTTCCTGGCAGCCTGAGTGGACAGCAGCATTGATAAGTTCTTCCAGAAACAACAGGCATTACCCCACAGCTCTCCTCTCTCCGTCTCCTCACCAAATCTCTGTGGATGAAGTTGGAGCTCTCCAGGTAAGCCATCCCCTCGCTGACGTCCACGCACATTCCCAACATGGCGTCCGGCGACAGGCGGCCCTTCCGCTCCCGCAGGTAGTCTGACAGACAGCCGTTCTCCATGAACTCAAACAGCAGACACATGGGGGAGCGCCGGCTGCACACGCCATACAGCTGCACCAGCTTGCAGTGAGACAATTTCCTGCCACAGCACAGACACACACACACACACACACACACACACACACACACACACACACGCCCGCACACGCACTTAGGATGGGCGGTTTGATTTACTTCGACTGGACTATCCTTAACTTCAGCGTGCTTACATCATAACCTTTGCTTCCTCTTTGAATTCCTCATCCGACATGCACTCCTGTCGTATCGTCTTCACGGCGACTTTCCTCTGCCCCCATCTCCCCTCGTACACCAGCCCAAACTGCCCACTGCCCAACTCCTGACCCAGGATCAGCTCCTCAGGGTCCACCTCCCAGGGATCTGTTCCGATCGGAGGACAGGCAGTGAAAAATCACAATCCCTGTTCAGTTGCAAGATTTAAATATGTGTGATTACAAAGCAGACTTTCAGCAAAAAGATGACACAACCAATGCACTGAACTGTCGTTTAACAGTTCTGACCACGTAAGGCCGTGCCGATGTATTCGAAATAGCCCCTGTGTCATTGTGTCAAAACCACAAGGGGTCAGCAAACGTGATTTTTTGGCTTAGTTTTTGGTCAGTTTATACAAAAGGATGACCCCAAACCTTCTGAAGGGTCGGCCGTTTCCAGTGAGCACCGTGCTCCCTGAGACACGGGGTGCCTCAGCCGCGTGATCAGACCTGCCGAGAGAGAAAGAAAGTTACCAGAAGACAGAGGTACGCTTTTTACAGACACATATATAAAAAAAAGGAAATCTGAGGAGCATATTTCCTCTTTTGCTTTGTCACATCTTTTTTACGGGCAAGCGAGCAAACTCACCAGCGGCGTTGTGTTGGTGGTAGTGAATGAGCTCAGGAATGGTGCAAAACAGGTACTTCTCAGCCAAGTAAAATGCTCCCTGCCCATCGTCGCTCTGTCTTATTTGGTAATGTTTCACCCTCGGATTCTTCTCTCCATTGGATCTAAGGATAGAAAATGTTTACATGTGACAAACCCAATGCCAAATAGAAAATATGCACTGATATTTATAATATTTTTAAAAATCCCCCTTTTTTTTTTAAAGTAAGGTTTTATTTTTCATGGTGATGGCATAAATAATAGAAAGAAATCTTGAAAATCACTGAACACTCTTTTCATGTTATCATCATTTCAGCAAAAAGTAACGGTGAAATTACCCCGGCGCTTTGGTGAAAACTGACACCGTGTAGACTCCAGCCTGCCTCGAGTCTCGGACCATGAATGCCCCTTCTTTTCCCTGAAAGGTGGAGCAGCCACAGGACAAACTCTGGTTGACATGTAAAACGCATTTCGGTGCACACCTGAGCTGTGTTTTCAGTAGTTTTATTCAAAAAGCTAAAGCCAGAATAGGCCATGTAGCCGTTTTAGCAGATGGCGATTGGACAGCTGTTCCCCCTGTTGCTTGCAAAATGCAGCAAAGCAACTTGGCGGCAGGAAATTCGGCACTGGAGGAAACACTGTGGTTGTGAGAAATGTTTGTGTCCCATGTCATGTCAAGATTCTCTGTTTGCAGGTGTGTTAATTTTTGCAAATGCAAGATTGCTGTAGGTGGAACAGTCACAGCAAAAGTCTTCTGTTGTCATACAGAGAAAGATGATTGCACATGTGGGAAATATAATTCTTTCTTACCGTCAAAACAAGATTTTAATAGAAAAGGAAAACTTAATTAAGACAGACTGCCTTTTTTCTTTTACCTCCTTCATTAACAAATCCTCTGCTTCCCCTCTGTTAACGTGTTTGTTGTACCATCTGTAAAAAAGGAATTTCTCACCAGTTCTGAAGGTAACACATGAATAAATATGTACGTATCAATGCAAAACCAGTCTGAGTTGCAGTGAGTAAGGGAAAATCAAATAAGACTCACTCAAATCTGTCAAAATTGCTGCCAATTTTTTCAGCCACATACGTACTGGGCACAAAACCGATGTCCCTGAGAAGGGGGCAAGAAGCCTTTCATTATTTTTGTCGAGAAAGAACATGCGATTGATTTAAAACATGAACAAAAATGAGGAACATTGGAGCAGGCGGACATTTTAAGCATTACCCCTTGTCATTCTGCACGGACCACCAGTCAGAGTGGGAGCCGTTGACCAGCAGATACTGCTGGTCTTTCTGTAGAGGCAAGTCATCGTCTCCCATCGGCGTGTAGTCCTGCAGAGCGATGACCATCTGACGCCCCGGATCCGGCAGCTCCGTCTTCCAGAGATGAAAAAAAAGACAGGAGATGTGTTCCATAAGAATCAGCTGGAGGAAACCTGACCTATCCCAGATCATTTTAACAAACAAAACTGCATCAATTTGCACACCACAAGTAACATAATCATTAAGTACGCCACTGGGGAAGCTCAAAGAGAACGCACCAGCTGATGCTACTTTGTATTTGGAAAAATATCAATAGCTCAGTGATAGACGTTATTAGGAAAGTTAGTAGGAAATTACCTCTGGATCCGGGAGCAGGGGAAGTGGCTTTTTAGATGCTGCAGGGGTGTAAGAAATGACCAATTAGGACGGAGTTTTGAACTCAGATGCAAATCCACACAGCAAAAACAATTAATTCTTGATGAATGCTATGCAAACCTGTTCTCTAGTCAATGTGTGAATACATGTAAGGAAAATACATTTGCATAGTGATTTTGCTTTAATTAAGAAAGGGGAAGCATTTGATGAAAATGAACTAATAACAAAGTGAAGAGGAAAAAAATACTTACCACAAGCTTCTGGATTGTATATTCGACAGCCTGTCGCCAGTTTCTCACTTTGGTGGCAACATCTCCATCTTCCCTCCATCCAAAAGTTGGGGTGGTATTTTGCGACCAGGTTGTTATGCTTTGTTTCTAGACGAAACACAGCAAATATGTGTATAATTCTAAATATCAAATGGATTTGTTCTGACACTGACGCAAATAAAGCTCAGTAATTACCCTCTTTGAGAGCTCTAACCCATCTCTGGCGGCAGTCATTGTCTGGGGCAAATATGTAGAGGTAGTGGCTGTCATGGAAAACCTGGACAGGGTGTTTACACACAGAAAAAGAGCCTTCCTCATACAAAAAACTTGGTGTCTTGTTTTGTACAGAAAGCAGACTTTTTTCCTTGAGAAATGGGGACTCTTACCTGGAAAGGGTACTTGTAGCTGCATGGTATGGGGACATCAGCGCACACTATCTCCACACACTTAATCCTGGACAGTTCAATGCAGCCTTTCAGCATGGGCCTTTTCTGCAAGAAACACGCTTTTTACCTCGTGTATGTAGAACAATTAAAGGGATTTCATGGAAAAGTTTCCAGGTTTCCAGAGCAAATGATCTGAAAACCCATTTGAACTGAAGTGCTGACTTACCCCCGGCCGGCGCTCAGAATATTTCAAATCTTGCGTGTCCAATACAAAAAATCTCTCTTTGTAATTTGACGGCGACGTTCTTTTCTTCTGTTGAGATTTTTTGATCATGGTTCCTTTCAGGATCACTCTCGGGAACATGGTGACAGCTGCGGGCAGCACCTGTCACGGGCAGAGCAACTCGGTGCCTCGCATTTGACAGACAATTAAACCGAGGGATTCAAATGTTGGGGATGGCGACTTCTCAGATGCGGAGGAGCTTCCGGCGTCAAGTTGTTGCACAGTAAGCCACATCCCTTGCGGCAACGAATCAGTTGTGCAAGCAAACACACACCGCCGCACTCACAAGCAAGCACGCTACACACGCACGGAGAGTGCACTTTCACTTAAACAGTAACCCAAGAGAGGACCAGAAGTTCATTTTGCTTTGTACTGTTTGATTATTTATTTAATCAATTTGTTTGTTCACAAAAATGTGCATAGTGAACATAATATAGCTAGAAAAAGGATTTTCTGAAGGATAAACCTAATAAACAAGACAATAACCAAACACAGATACACGAATAAACAAATAGATACATTCTTCACTAAAACATCTTTAACTTATTTGAAAGTATTACCATTTTTTCTAATTATTATCCTAGCACCATGCCCATTGTGTGAATATTGCACTTTATCATTTGCCTTGTTTTCCAGGTCGTTTTACGCACGAATCATTTAGGCTTTCGACAGTCTGATGTTAGAAGGGTTTGGATTTTGTGACTGGAGCCTTGAGACTTACCCAGAACTGATTTCTGGCATTGTAATTACTTTTCTTTAGTTGAAAACTCAGAAAATATTCATATTTAAAAACTTAAATAAATATGATAAATATGTTGAATGTTATAGCACCACCAAGCGGAAAGGTGAATAAATAACTAAAAAATAAATAAATAAAGTGTAAAAATAATAAACATGTAATACTCTCTTTAGTTGTAAATGTTAGAAATCAGTCTGTGGCTGCAAAACTATCTTATTCTGAATGAATTAAGTCAATGTAAAAATCCTCCTCGTTATTTTGGAATTAAACTGGCTGCTGGACATACTTTCTGAGACCGAGTCTGGTCGTGGATGTTTCAAACAGTCATAATGGAACTAAAGTGATTTGGGCTGGATTTTACATTGTATGTGGAAATGCATTGAAATACCAACTAATGTCAAGTGAGAATGATCAGCTGTTCAAAGAAAAAAGTAAAAATAATTTGATTTTATTACAAATAATTGGAAAATATATATAAACTTAATTTTAGACGTTTGCAGGAATATTATGAGCACCGCTTTTAATTTCAACAGTGTTTGAAAACCCACCGCCGTCTCTTAAGGGTATTATTGAGTGGGGATATTTTCTCAGCTGTGGTCTTTTAAAAAATAAATTTATGGAAAACCTTTTTTAGGTACCATGTTTAGGCAAAATCACAAAGAAAAAAAAAAGATAAAACGCCTGTTCATTTACATATAAAGGTGCTGGTAATTTATTTGTAAATTGTAGATTGTTAGGGGTTGGTGTAACTTCTTGTTTATAGTTTTATATCTAGCCATTGTAGTGGACAGACACAATTAATGTCCATCAAGCACCAAATCATACATCAAAGTGTTACCTAAATGCGACGAATACCATCACGCTCAAACGCAAACGTACAAACAATTCTATGAATGACGTTCTACTTCCGGACTCTGAGACCAATCATTTTATGGTTTATTTCCCTACCGCAGTCCAATCAACATCACGGGAACTGCTCCATTCAACCAATTAGAATTAGAAAGGAGAGAAAAAACGTTCTTAAGGTAGCAAGCCGAGACAGTGGAGGCTAGGCTAGTCATGAGCTAAGTGTCCGATGAAATCGAGTTAATAGTTCACGTCTGAAGTTGACTTTGAGCTCCGAAAGAGTCACTTAAAAGGTCTGTTAATGGATATTTTTTGCCTTTATAATTATATTTTTCTGAAATCTCTATTAATTATTTCCATTCAGCGGAGGTTAGCAGTGACCTAGCTAGCTAGCTAGCTAGCTAGGTTTCCCACGCAGAATGCAGCAATTCTGTTAAATGTACAGGTCTGCTTTTAGTGGCATCATCATTTTTTTATTCATATATTTTAAAATGATTTATGGTCGATATATAAAAGTATTTATTTTTTGTTTTTTAGATTTCGCAGTCATGCTATTTGCCAAGTTATTTAACTTTGTTTACCTTCGTTGTAACTACATTATAATAATCTGAAGTGCTTTTCTAGCACTAACGATGACACATTTGTTCAATTGGTTCTGAGTAAATATGGATGCTTCAACATTAAGTGGTCAAAGTAAAGCATTATTCAAGTCTAAATCTTAACTCAACTTCTAAGAAAAATTGAAAGTTGAAACCTACTGGGTTTAACACTTAACATGTTTTCTTTTTCTTTCAGATTAACACCTGACTGTTATTGGCTAGTTTAAACAAAAAGCCAATCCATCATTATATTTAAAACATATATATATACCCTTGCTCTGATTAAGGTTGCATATTTTAAAGTTACAATAGATCAATCCAAATTTATAATTGACTCTATACACAATTATTCTGAGCCATGACTGTAGATGATAACAGGCTTAAATTATCTTCTTTCACTGTCTAAAGACACAGATTCCTGCATGTTCCTGCTGAGAAATTAACTTTAGGACATGTGAACAAATACCACTGTTGCAGTTGGTTGCATAATGTACATTATTGGGCTCAAAACATGGTTTCAAGTTGTAATGCATTATAACGGACAAAAAACGTAAACATATATGCCTATTTTAAAATGTTTTATATAAGACACTGTTCCATCATCCTGGAAAGGAAACTAAAGTTGTATAATGGACTCACATTTTAAAGCCTCCTTTTTTGATTAACAGAAAGTCATTTTTCATATGTGGCAGAGCAAGGGAGTCCCTTCTCTGTGTATGCTTTGCTAGATCAATTTGTGGTTGAAAACGGTCTTTCACAATTAAAGAAAATTAAAAAGAAGGATTAAGGTGTTGCAGCAGCATACCTACAACTTCTGTGTTCTGTAAAGAGATAACGCCATGCAGGTCTTCATAGCATATTTATATTTGGTAGAACAGCACTTCCAACTAAATGAAAGCTTATTCTCACATTGTTGTGGGCTGAGTGTAATGTTGGTGTTGGCAGTGAAAACAGGTTTTGCAGCAAATGGAGCAGCTTCCCACTTTGCATGTTACTATTTACAGTATGAATACATTTTAGATGATTCCTTGGATAAAATCCAGGGAAATGTCTTGATTTGACAGTGTGGTACAAGCTTTTTTTTTTCACATAAACCTCCCTCAGTATTTTCAGGTCTCATTGAAAAGTGTCAGACTTTCTTGTGAGAACTTGTTCTTGTATTTGTGTTCAGGTCCACATCATGGGTGAACCACAGCAGGTTAGTGCCCTGCCTCCGCCGCCTATGGTGTACATTAAAGAGTACACGGATGAAAACATCCGCAAAGGTCTGGCTCCTAAACCACCACCACCCATCAGAGACAGTTACATGATGTTCGGCAACCAGTTCCAGTGCGACGACCTGATTATTCGTCCTCTGGAGAGCCAAGGCATCGAGAGACTCCATCCTATGCAGTTTGACCACAAACAAGTGCTCAAAAAGCTAAACATGTCCATTCTTGTGAACTTTCTGGACCTGCTCGACATCCTCATCAAGAGCCCCGGCAGTATAAAGCGCGAAGAGAAGCTGGAGGACATAAAGCTACTGTTTGTGCACATGCACCATCTGATAAACGAATACAGGCCGCATCAGGCCAGAGAGACTCTGAGGGTGATGATGGAGGTGCAGAAAAGACAGAGGCTGGATACAGCAGAAAGGTTCCAGAAACATTTAGAGAGGGTCATGGAGATGATCCAAGGGTGCCTGGCCTCCCTGCCCGACGACTTGCCTCAGATGGAAGCTCCAGATGGTGTTTGTGACTTGACAAAGAGCGTGTCCGGAGGAGCTGGCGTGGGTTGCTCCTCTGGGCTGGCCCCCCGGCTGAAAACTGAGCCGATGGATGTAGAGGAAGCAGGTGCCAGCTGCATGGCAGCAGGTCACCAAGAGAAGAGCGTCCCCAGTTTGAAGGACAGAATGTGGGACAAAGATGCTGCCATGTGTAGTATTATAGATGAAATTGCATAGGTGGTACTTTGTGTATTTTTTTCTTTCTTTTTTTTTCTTTCGTATGCTTAAAATCCTTATAGCATTTTGTGGTATTTTATGTAAGGACTCTCTTTCAGAACGTATCACCTATTCCTGTAAATATGTTAAAATAACTCAAATATTTCATCGACCAATTTGTGACGCTAACTTTAATCTGTTTTCCAATAAACCCAATAAAGAGATTTCCATTTGCAGTCTGCATTCAGTGTTGCACATCGCCAGCATTTATTTGAATATATGAATATTTTTTTCCGTGTAGATGTTAGAACACCCCGTCACAGGGACTTGTTGTTTGTGCAATCCAGGGAGGTGTCACGAAGAGGTCAGTTATGTATAGACGGTAGTTAAGTGGTCACTTCGCTCACATTCAAACTATTTCATTCAGTGAGCAGAGTTATTCCCTTGGAGTAAGTTTCCTTTTCATAATTTTAATTTAAAAAATACAATTCAAATTGGAGGCAGCTTATCCAATAAACAGGTAATGCAATTCTTGGCGTTTGAAGATATATAGAGTCAATTATATTGAGTAAAATGCAGTCCGTAGGCAATCTTAGTCGACTTATTGTCTTATAGAATAAGTAATCGAGTAAATAAATTGAGAACATATGAACTTGGCTCGGTTTGTGTCATAAGCCGTCAACCACGCCCCCTGGAAGTTAAACTGGGATTCCCTTTGCTGTCACGAGAAAGATTCCGAATTCTGAACTGCCGAGATTTGAAACGATGCTTTGGCTGCACAAGACATGAAATTGAAATCATCCTGCGGGTGTCCGGTGAAAAACTAAAAACAAAAATCCTGGAATCGAGGACTTTAGTCGCACGGACAGTGTTATGAAACCCGGGATCCTTGGGTTTCACAACAGGGCGGAAGGCTGCTCCCTCATCCAATCAAGTCGCACGCTCTGGCGTCACGTGACTTTTTATTTATGTAATGTAATGGTGTTACACAGTAACCTAGCTTCGTGGATTTGGATGCATCCTTACCGGGTTAAAAGCGGACACGGACGACCAAAGTGAGATAAAAACAATTCATGTACCTTTTTTACCGGCCCGGTCAGTGCGGGTTTTTCAGAGTTTGGAGCATCGAGGAAAGAAGCGTGTCCGACCCGGGGAGCTCAACCTATCCGAAAAGGGAAGATGCTGCTCGTCCCGAACCAAAGACGGAGAAAAGACTCGAAAAGACAATGTCAATGAACAGCCCCTTTATTCGAAAAGTAAACTTGTGAAGTGAGCTGACGGGGCTCAGACCAAACGGCGACGGGGACCGAAAACCCGGTTCTGGTTCGAACGGATGTTGGGGCACGTTTGATTTTTTTTTTTTTTTGGTGTAGCCTATTGCTGAGCCGTCGCTATGGTACTGGAAAGATCCGTGCAATAATAATAAAAACCCCCGGAGAGGCTTGCTGTCTGGATTGCTTTGACGGACAAAAGCCACGTCGCGCTGACCCACACGGCCCGTTTAAAGATGGATCTGCTGGAGTGTCCGCACTGCCTCCTGCTGATGTCCGAGCCGGTGACCATGGCGTGCGGCCACTCGTTCTGCCGGAGGTGCGTCGGGGGCTACCTCCCCTCCAAATGCCCCCTGTGCAAGGAGAGGTTAAAACACAAGGAGGCGAAGGCCATGAGGAACAACGTCCTGCTCATCAGCGTGGTCGAAAAGTGCTGCCCCGACGAGACCAGGGTCAAGTGCCAAATTCAGGAGAAGCTCAAAGCCAACGAGTTCACGGAAGCTTTACGCATGGCCAATGAGGGGCTCCACTTAGGTAAGGGGGCTGGTGGAATGTGTTGGCCCGAGCAGATTATTCTGCACATTTGTTTTTATACCTCTGGTCACGCAGGTGGAAACCAGTGAAACAAGTTTGGCGTCTCACTCAGACTCACTGTGCCGAATGTGATGGTGACCAGTCAGCACGCGCACCACGGAGCGCAATGACAGGGAAATAACAACACGCACATACTGGAGCAGATTAGTATTACTGAAGATTGTTGTCAGAGTGTCCACTATAGAAGGCCGGTTAATGCCTGGATGTATAAGTGGGTCAGTAGGCTCTGCCTGGGGGACAGTCCAGTGGTGTTGGATGAGTAAGAGAGAGAGAGAGAGAGAGAGAGAGAGAAAAACTAAAGGTTTGTGCAGCAGAAGAGCCACCAGTCTGGTTGAACACTTTCCCATCTGTCCCAGTCAGTCACACATAGGATGACAAACAGTAAAAAGAGCTGTGACAGCTGATGGCCGGGGAAGCATATATCGGGCCCAGGCTGAGCCTAATCTGCATTTATCCGTCTGCAGGCAAAAGAAAAGAAAAACACGTGGTAATTAAAAGGCCAGGTTGTGGTGAATAATATTTGGGAAAAAGTCAGATAAAAAGATGAAGTCTGGCATCATCTCAAGTTGATTGTCCCCCCCCTCTCACACACACATGCTACCACCTGTGTACAGTTGCTTATCTCCAGCAGTTGCTCCTATAAGTGCAATTGACCTAACTTCCAGCGGGCTCCTGTGGACGGAAAGTAAAAGCAACAACCTCTGCCCCACATAAGTTGCTGAGGTGTGTAGTGGTCCATTCCCATTGCGCTGCTGTGAATCGGCCTGTTGATGAATTACCTTTGTGCCTTCCATTCTTGCCAATCCAATTAAACACTGCTACCTCCCTTGCCTCTGGTATTGTAGCTTCTTACATAACGACCTCCTGGCACACTTGTGCTCAGCAAGTTTTCCGTTTGTTGTTGAAAGTTTACGGGTGGATCTTCTACCTTCATTTGTCTGTTGTTACTTTTTTTCTTTCTAATATGGCCAAGCCGGTGTCTGTGAAGTGGTTCTGTACATACACACTTGTGTAACAGCTCTAGGGAACAGTGACTGATGCTCATGAGTGCACATGTGCATGCTGGTGTAGCATGTTTGGCATTTTTTAGGTGCTGTGGCAGTCATGCTACAATGCAGCTGAACGTGCTCAAAGGTGAACGCTAAATTCATATATGAGCATCATCAGAAGTCAGACTGCTGTTGCATACTTTGATATGCAGCAGTGTTATCACAGGCTGTGTTTGAACTGATTATTTAAAACCTCCTGTTTACTCATGTCGTGCAGGTTATTACATTAGTAATTATAGGAAGAAGGATGTGTGATTAGGACTCACTTTAATAAGTTCTGCAATCATTTTTTCTTTACCCCCCTGCTCTCTTTTTCACCGCTCATCTTTCTACCTGTTGCGTTCGCAGTCCCCAACGATCGGAGCTTGAAGATGTTCAGAGCTGAGGCTAACCTGCGCCTGTCGCGCTTCGCCGACGCTCTGACAGACCTCGACTACCTCTGCTGCCTTCACCCCAGCTGGACGGAGGTGAGAAAGCGCCAACCGCCAATCGGCGTGTCCATCCAACGTTTCCAACTGTCTTTCCAACATTTCCCTCCCCTCCTCCGCTGTGCCGGAACTCTTTTAGTCTTGATTTCAGCCAGCCAGTCAGAATCCATTAAAAGTTCAGGTACATTTCAGGTTTAATGAAAAGAAAGAGAGAGGAAAAAAGCTAAATAGGAGCTGGATTAGGGGTAGTAAAAGTAGCTTGTAAAGGGACCACTGCCTCTAAGATAAAATGTATGCTTCAGCTGAAAATGGTGGGTTCAAAGTCACCCGTTAGGTAGGATTTCACAAACATTGACCGCCATAGTTCCCGATCATTAAAAGCACCGTAGTTCAGTGCTGAATGTAACCTTTGTAACGCATATGTAATGGAGCACACACACATAACCACAAAGATGCACTCATTATTTTCTGCTCTGGTGCGGCCGATTAGTGCCATTTCCTCGCTTTTTGTTATAGTTATGTCATTCACCAATCACGTTATGCAAACAGCCACTTATGTCATAATGTCACCGGTCAGGCTTTGCCACATGGGGGCGCTGTTTGCAAGGTGCAGCGTTGCCCCGTCCTGTCGGCCGTGGACTGATCGAGCTTCTCTTTGCGCAGGGCTACTTTCGTAAAGGGAATGTACTGCTCGAGATGGGCCAGCAGAAAGAAGCCCTCCTTCAGTTCCACCGATGCCTAAAACTCCAAGCCGACTTTGCTCCCGCGAAGAGCCAGATCAAAAAGGTTTGTGTATGTCTCTGGGCACCAATGACAGAGCTGAACGCCATTATATAATAGAATCAACGAAGAAATTAATCTGAACTATGCCCGAGCTTTTACAGATGACCACTTGAACCACCAGCCTAAAGATTATTTGACATTTTTCTTTTTACTTAAAAACATTTTTTTTTCAGACATTTATATACACATTCCAGAGCTCTTCTTTTGGTGTTAGCTCCCTTTTGTTCCATTCCTGTAAAGAGGATCCCACACTGCTTCAGTACCGTTGAGGTCCGGGCTCTGGGGGGGGATTCATCCCTCCATTAGACCTGTTGGCGCTCATTTTCAATCCACTTCTCGTGTCCCCTTGGCATAGCTCAGCCTCTCAACCCTTTCCCCTTTTCTTCAAAAAGGCCCCTTGACAGCCACCTTTCAATGCAGATCTTCTCTCACAAGCTCTGGTGGGATCATTTGAAGTAGAACATGCAGAAATGAGGGATGACCTAAAACTTCTGCAAAGTGTTTTATGAGTGGCTACAATCTCTTCTTATTGATAGAGTATTTTTATGCTTTTTGTTTCACTTTTAGACTTTTTAAATCTCATTATCGGTGTGTTTTTTGTGGGTATTTGAACATTTTATTGTTGAGTTTATCCCTCGTCTAATCTTGCCTGATCTTGCTGGCAGCTTTGTTATAGAGTCAAATGTGTACTGCGTGTTGGCGACTGAGCTCTGTCTTTAACCCTGTGAATGGCAGATCCTGGAGCTCGAGGGAATAGCGATGCCGGAAGAGGTGACGTGCGCTTTGCAAGTGGTGTCCGAGTACCTGAAGGAGCCCTGCCCCATCACCAGCCTCAGCGGCTCCCAGGGGCCCACACAAGGCGAGGGCAAGCATCCACACGGAGGGAGGAGAGAGGGACATCAGGGGCAGGTACAAGAGATGCTGCTGACTTCAAAGGGACTGAATGTATGGGAGGGAACCAATAAAAAAAAAGGTTTTAACTAACCGTGCATGGGTTTGGCTCCAAGATGAAGCACGATGCAGGCACCGAGTGTTGCCTGAGCCTCTGCCAAGCTGTCTCCTTCCTCCCTGCTGCTGAGGAGGACGAGGAGATGATGATGAGGAAGGAAGAAGAGCACGGCAGGGGTAGGTGGATTCACCAGGGAACACGGTCCTTCTGATCCGATTGTCATCTTTGTCGTCATTGTCCTCATTGTGAGTCATCTCTGCCCGAGTTGCCACCAGCGACATGCCTCCAACACCCACCAGATGGTTTGAAATGATGTCATAGATGTCTTTTCTCCCTTTCCGAAAACAGCGAGTGAATCCCTAAAGTGACTGTTTGGAACTGTTTTCTCCTTTCATTCCCAGGTGAGAGTAAAGCGCACAAGGAGGAGACGCTGGGAGTTCTCTCCGTGTCAGACTTTGAGTGCCCTCTCTGCATTAGGTGAGCGTCCTAGAGCATTCTCCATAAAGCGTCAGTGTGTGTAGCTTGTGTTCGTTTGGTTCTGTTCTGACTCCCCCGTCTCCCGTTAATGTTTAACACACTTTACGGCTCCGTCACAAGTAGCTCGAGCATTCTCAAGCTGCCGGGCTGCTTTGAACCACAGCCGACGTCCGCCTCTGTCCCCCCGCAGGTTGTTTTTTGAGCCAGTCACGACCCCCTGTGGTCACACCTTCTGCAAGAACTGCATCGAGAGGAGCCTTGATCACAACCTCCGCTGTCCACTCTGCAAGAATCCGCTACAAGAGGTAACCACCCACAGATCCCCTGAGCACCGTCATTTTAAAGCCATTTTTCTTTTATTCCCTAAACCTCTGGACTGTAAGAGCTGCTTATTCAGTAGCGTTTACTTTTTGTCCGCGTCGTGGCCCCTCAGGCTCACGCAATTTAGTTCAGGCCAAGTGAAACACTGATCGATTTTTAGGACTTAAGTCTTGTGACATGGGGTGAAAAGGATTTCTGTCTCGTAATGATTTTGATAATGACTTTTTTGCATCTCAAAGACAGAATGTTCGTCTGTAATTGTAACCTATAAAGATTATCGAGATTTTGTGTAATTACACAATACAGTGCACACGTGTATAAGAAAGAGAAACACGTTTTTCTTCAATTAGGTTTTATGTGAAAAGACATTATTAAAAAAAAGGGGAAAAAGCTGTTCCTTATTTATTCGAATCAAGCTCAACTAAAAAAAGTGCCAAAATACTTTATGTTTCTTGGCTACAATGCAACAGCAAACTGAAATCTAAGGAACCTCTTACTGATTATGTTAGAATTAGCAAAGGAGGTAGATGCATTGGTCCTTTTTTTCAAATGCACTTGAAGTAAACCCCAAAACCGATATTTAACCTAAGGATTTTGAAGTTTGCTGCTTTGGAGCTCACAAGTCGGAAAACATTGGGACCTGAATATAATGAGGGACCATCGTAAACCAACAAGACACACCTCAGACTCTACAGGTCTCAGCTGAAATTGGGCTACCGAGTGAAACAATGCGACCAAACAAGGCAGCAAATCATCCAACTAACGAAGAAGAGATTAAGTTCTGTTAATGTGGTGACCGAACCCAAGCATGAGGAAGGTAGTCTCGGTTTTGTAAAGCCAGTTCACTTCATATTGGTTTATATCACCATGGCAACTTCAGCTAGAAAGCAAATCTGCTCCGAAACAGCCTCCTGACCAATCAGCTGTCACAGAAAGAGAAGAAGTAGGAAGAGGGTTTTCCATCTAAATCTGACATGAGTCAATGACTGGTTGTACTGTTCAACTTCCACTCAGACAGACGCATCTTGATAAGAGATGAGTGTGGCAGATGGAATGGTTATGTAACCCTAAACAGATCTCTCCAGCACTTGCAAATGCTGATTAAAAAAAAAAAAAAAGATTTGGACCTGACATGAATTATTAATAACGAAATCACTGGTCTATGAAATATTAGCCCTTTTCTCATGTAGTGTACCAATCCCACTGGGTAATGAAAAGAATCATATTTTCAGAAAACGCCTAAAATCAAAATGAACAGTTGCAAAAGTCCCACTGAGTGGTTTGGATGTTCTTTCTGTGTTCATATCGCCTGATTGGTGCGTGCAGTCATTAGGCCAGTGTCACATCTGATACAGCACAATCAGACACAAACTCTCTCACATCTTCATTTCCATCTGTTATCTATGTGAAAAAACAATTCCGTATGTCAGCATTGTTTTTTTCAGCTTTCCTTCCTGCTTTAGCTTCTGTAGCTCTGTTGCTCTTGATTTTTCATCCAGCGCTCCACCCATTGTACACAAATGTACATAGTCAGAAAACCTGGGCCGATAGTTAAGCTGGACCATCAACAAAATGATGAACCTGTTTGAAAGTACAAGACCAGATAGTTTTTTTAATGCTTCATTCTGACAGAGACAAATAGAGCACTCTTTTTCTGCTCTCTATTTATTTTTTCAAATAATTTTTTCTAATAATTTACTTATATTCAAATGGATGAATTGGAATTGGTGATAAAGCTCTCAGAGTTTTTACGATAGTGTTCACACAGCAAAGTAGAAACCCGATGAGACTCAAGCTTCACATTTGAGCTATTTGGATGTATTCAGGACCTTAGACTCAGTGATTCAGATACACCACTGAAAAAATGCTATTCAACATTTGAAAGAGAATATGAGTTCAACATTTTGTTAGCAGCTCACATGAACATCGCCTGTATTGTCCTGCTTAGAGTGAGTTTCCAGTCTAGATTCTAGATGGTGCCAAACAAAGAGCTCCTGCCCCGACTGTAAGTGTATGGTTGGAAAATGGCTTTCCTTTAAATTTAGCTAAATGTCAACAGCTCTGATCTTAACCACTGATTATTCTCTTCCTGGTCAGATTAGTTCAATTTGAAAAGAAAATCCTGATGTTGGCATGTTTTTTGTTGCTGGTTCCATAAAGGTTTAACTGTAACATCATTTGTGTTATTCTTTTCTGTTTTCACAGTACTTAAGAAACAGGAAGTACAACCCTACAACTCTGCTCCAGGAAATTATGACCCAGCTTTTTCCCTCTCAGTTGGCCGAGAGGAAACAGGTCCACGATGCAGAGATGGCCGAGCTGTCCAAGTAGGCACCTTTAACTCTATGGACATTTGTAATCCTTATTCACGCGTACTGGTCTCAGGTTTATCCCTTTCTGTTGGATTTGTTTCCAACCACTTTTATTTCCCCACTTCCCTCTCCTACAGTCTTACCAAGGACATCCCCATCTTTGTGTGTACGGTGGCCTATCCAGGCGTGCCCTGCCCACTGCACATTTTTGAGCCTCGATATCGGCTGATGATGCGTCGCTGCATGGAGACCGGCACCAAGAAGTTTGGCATGTGCAGCTACGAGCACGGCAAAGGGTATTTCTGTTTCAGAGTGATGCATAGACACATAGATCCACAGATGGCAGTGACTCTGTTTCCTTAATTTTTTTTACTTTTAAGGCAGATCCGATATTAAACAGTGCAGTTTAAATTCTGATGTTTAGGAGACAAAATCCTTTTTATACACAGGATCTAGCAGATCCTCTTTTTAACTTTTCTCCAGAATTATCTCAGGGATTTGGCCTTTTAAAGTTCTTCAGTCCATCTGATGATTTGCTTTAGTCTTGTCTGCAAAAAGTAACTCCTTTAACTTGCATAGACAACCACAACAGCTTCCAAATGTCACTCAAAATCGTCTGTTTGAATAATGCAAATTTAGGCAGACGTTTCTGCCAGACATCTGTCTAAGTCATGAACGCACACCTTCAGACTAGCCCGTTGGCGGAAAACATACGATAATTCCCCAAACTGACCAAACGCCTGCACTTTACACCGTGAAACTCCAGTACGTTTCGGTAATATTGATATTTAGGACCACGCTGCCTGGATGTGAAAAGACCGTGCTTGACATTTTCCTCTCCGTGAAGCTCACAGCGGGCTCAGTGGAGCCTGATGGGATGGTCAGCGGTGCAGTAAAAGCAGACCGAGCGGTGAAATAACTCATATGTGACCCCGAGGAGGCGGAAAATAACAGCATGGTCACCAGTCTGCTCTCTGCTGCGCGTTTCCCCACTCACAACAAAAACACCCTTATTTGAAGTTACTTTGTATCATCCGATTGAGGCAGAATTATCTTCCGCTTTAAAGGGTCACATTAATGGGTTTGAATTACATTTGTTGAACTTAAACTTTACCACACGTAAGGTATCATCCATTCATCGAGGTCTCATGCTTTTCTGCTCAGGTTCGCAGACTACGGCTGCATGTTGGAGATCCTCGGCCTGGAGCTGCTGCCAGACGGGCGATCTTACGTGGAGACGGTGGGCGGCCGCAGATTCAAGGTGCTAAAGCGCGGTCAGAGGGACGGCTACAACACCGCCGACATCGAGTACCTGGAGGACATCAAGGTAAGCCTCCCCGGATACCCCAAACTCTGGACGTGTTACATCCGGGCAACTCGACCTGACCCGCGTCTCTCTTTTCCGTCTCAGGTCGACGAGAGCGAGCAGGAGCTGCTGCAGCACCTCCATGACAGCGTGTACCAGCAGGCCCAGGACTGGTACCATCGCCTCGGCAGCCGCATCCGCGAGCAGATCAACAGACAGTACGGCAGCATGCCGGATAAGGAAGAAAATATTCAGGTTGGTGATCTCACACAAGCGGAACGCACACAAAAGCCTTTTACGTACTCTCTTTTTCAACAACGGCTAGCTGGTTAGTAGCAGTAACATTAAGTCTCAAATGTATTTGATCTTTTAACAATATTTCCCACCCAAAATAAACCCCAGCTGAAAAGAGATAAAGAACAGTATTCTGTTCCTAAAATACTGATGAAAGGGGATAAAGAATCACTCAGACCACAGTGTTACCAGTACATTCTCTGGACTGCTAAAGTCTGTTCTATGTGTAGTCATGCTTCTTTTTTTCTTTTTTTTTACCTCATGCAGGCCTCTGCCAACGGTCCGGCGTGGTGCTGGTGGCTGCTGTCCGTCCTCCAGCTGGACCCGGCCTACCAGACCACCGTACTCTCCCTGACTTCCCTCAAAGACCGCCTGGGACACCTCCGCCTGGTCCTGGAGTACTTCTCTCAGAGCTAAACACCCCGAGCACAGTGGCCGGTCGAGGCCACAACTAGCCGACAGTCAAATATCACGCACACACACACACAAACGCGCAGAGTGGAATCCAGCGAACGCACGCACAATAGCCAGTCTGAGGCTGGGGCGGTTTTAGAGTCGCGCCCGGACAACAGCTCCAGGCTACAGCAGAACGCAATGCAGAGTTGTTAGTTAGTTTTTTTTTTCCGTTTTTGGCGTTGTTTGAGTTTGGGTATGTTTTCTTTCTTACACCAGAATGACCAAAGACGCGGCTTACTTCGGGTCATCAAGGGTGATTGTTTGTGTACAAAGAATTTTTAAAAAAAACTACAGTAAATCAGTTCATTTTCAAGTAATATTATTGAATATGGACACTGGGTGTTACTGATTGTTTTGGGTTGTGTTTTTTTTCCTCCAGTCATGCCATGAAACAGCTGGATAAGGTATCTGCGCGTGTGTTGCCTGTTCCTGCCGGACTTTTTGCATTAACGGCTATGTTTGGAGTGAAGATAGACCATAATAGCAGACATTATGTGAAGAAATACTTTTGCGGACTGGCACACGGCCGTGTTCACGTCCATGTGCTCCAGGTAATCACGTTGGAAATGTTGAGTGATTGTCCTTTGCTACAAGCACTATTTCCTTGTATGTTTCTTAGTGTAATCCTATTGGCCTTGGCAGCCATTGAGTGTGGCTCATTTTATTCTTAGACAAAAAAGACTCCTTTAGTATTAAACATTGCAATAATAATGATAATAATAATAATTTGTTGTCCCACATCACAGCGTCTCTGCTTAGTGATGTTTGTGGATGTTGTTCAGAGGCGGAGATCACCCACCGGTAGGCAACTTTTTCCACATTACAGCACTGAGAGGTTGGGGTTTGTGAATGGGTTTTATAACAGCTATGGTCAGCAGGATGACCTCTCGGCCATCGCTGCTCAGCATCGTACGCATGTGCGTCAGGTGTAACTAAGTCGTCGATGTTGTTCGCCATTTTTCACTAGCGGTTGTTACTTTTTTAAGATTAAGCGTGAGGTGTTTTTCGACACTGATAACAGCCACTGCAACGCTCGCTCCTTCGAAATTGCAAGAAGCCGCGTTGCCATCTTCTGCCGAGGCAGCTGGAAAAATAAATAGGCTATGACTATTTGGTTCAGGTCCGACTAGGGACCGCCACATAGGCCACGACACCTACCTCCGGCTCTTACTCCGTCTCCTTCTTTGTCCGGCCGGTCGACCACCAGTCATGGTGCCTTCGAGTGCCTCGGCCATCTCATCAGGAGACCTGCAAGTCTTAGAGTTTCTGCGCGACTGGGATGATGAACTGTGTGATTTCTATTGATGTAGTGCTACATTCCATGGAATGTTAAAGCTGAGTTATGTAAAGAATTATTTACTAACAACCACGGGCTTAACTGGGTGTTTTTTTTTTTTTACTTCGATAAATGTGCCATAGGTATTCCTGTGTTAAATATGCTAAATAGGAGTAGTCCCCGTGCTTATGTTCATCTACATCTCAGATTCCTCTAACTTAGGCCTTGACCCTCATGCCTTTTGTATGATGGGCAGTAAATTACCCCCCTGTAAACATATCACTTACAACAATCCAGCACAGTCAAACATACAGTGTACAGTGAGTACGATGGACAAGAGCAGCCCTTGCTCCAGTAGGTTTCTCCTTTTTAAAAAAGGCTGGGTAGGTTTTTTTTCACAAACCTGCCATCATACTTCCATCCACCAGCCATCAGGTAGTTTTCTTAAAAACATTACAGAACACTTAATTACACACGATTGTGTAACTAAGGTCACAATAAATATCCAAACTTAGATTTAATGTATCGATAATGATTGTTTGCTGCTAATTCCGCTGTGCGTTTTTCAGACTTGTAAGATTTTCCTCTCAGTCACACCCCTGCAGATGTGCACTGGCTTTAGCTTCTGTTAGATTTAGCTCTCAGAAAGAGTCGTACAACAACCTGAAAACCATTTTCGCTCGGTCTGCACAGCGCGCATTAAGACAGCCACTCCTGGTTCTCTCCCACTGGAAAGTCTTAGCTCGTCCGCTCGGGAAAAGTTGTGGGAGGCACCTTGGTGGCACATTCGTGGGAAATCTTGGCCACACCGGCATGACGGTCAGTGGTCACTCTCTGCACAGTTTTCAAATACCTGTCTGTTAGTCACAAGTACAGTTCAAGCCACTGAGAGTGCCGTGGCGTCTGTTGGATTCCTTCGCATTAATTCATCCACCTCAAAGCCAACAGCAGGAAATGATCTCAATCGGATTATTGTTTACTTGCTTGCTCCCTGGATGACTTTGTAAGTGTTATAATAAATAAATATTATCAAAACAAAAATATGTATTGCTCAAATTTATTGTGTCCATTTCTTTACTCCGTCAGCCCAAAGTGTTCTTATGTAACATTTATAGATCGTTACAGAAGCTGGTAATAAAAGATATGATGGGAGTCAGCATTCCTCACACGGATTAGAGGGGACTCAAACAGACATGTTAATGGCCATTGTGCCATGGCAGGGTAAAAATAGTCCTTTGGGGGAGAATGTGGGTTGCATTTAAGCCAAAGAAATACATTAGATGTGTCCAGTTAATGAATTGGGTTTGTGTAATTTGTCCTTCAACACTCTGCGGCCGAAATGCAGAGCAATTTTCTTAATGGGGACTTTTTCAGAGTTCGATGTGAATTAGAGATGTGTGGTCATTGCAACCTCCTCAGCAACAGGAAGAGGGAATGAACTAACCACCAGGGGGCAGTCCCTGTCAAGAAAACTAAAGTCAGGACTGCTTTCTGGGGGAAAGAAATTTGACAGGCTCAGAGACATCCCCTTTAATCTGGCAAAAAAAAAAGTCAATTTTGTCTGGCAGAGATAATCAATCGCTGGCTATCTGCAGGAAAAAAGAGAATGATGTAGCTGGAGTGAGGTACATTTCTCCCAACATGCTCTGTACAGTAAACAATGAGATTAAAGAAAGGTTTAATTGACTTCAAATGGGCTCCGTCATGCAGTTCAGCATCTACATCAAAGCCCATTACGTTTGAAGAATGCCGCAGCTTTTCTGTTCTGAAATTGATCCATCGGCTCGCGCTGACTCCCTGCTTGTGTGTGTGAGTGAGCAAGGATAACAGGCGTTTTGTGGGAGTTATCGCAAAGGGGGAACCGGCTGTGGCTCTGTATGTGTGGGTGTGCATGTGTGTGTGTATGTGTGTGTTCTTGTGTCTGCTGTCATCAGCACCAGTTTCCTCACATGGAAGCAACGATAAGGAAAACGCAGAGAATTCTGCTCTCACTGTTTTATGGCTTTACATTTACATTACGTCATGATAGAAAAAAAGCATCATCTGACTCATTCAAGGTGTTAATATTATGTATTTGCAACATCTCAATCTCATCTCAATCAAAGAGCATCACATGACATATTACACAAACCAAGCAAAGTCAATGTGGGTCAAAGTCTGGCTGTGGTTTATGTTTATGTGCAAAATGTTCTCATGACAACAAAACTGAAAGAAGACAAAAAGTATGTTTTGTTTGAGAGGGCTAAATGCCTTGTTGTAGCAATTTAGAACACAGAAAGGAGGACCATAGCTAAGGATGAGAGCTTCGGTCCTGAAAAGAAGTGCGTATGTGTATGTCTATGTGTGAATTTGTAATAATTATCTGCCATAATTATGGAACAACTCACCGGGGCCTCCACCAAAATAGACAAGCCTGCTCAATGTGCAATGTAGAACAACAGCCAAGGAGCCATGGAGCGCATCGGAGAATGGATGTGGCTCTGTTGTCATAGAAACAAAACCCAGCCTGAGAGAAGGAGCTGGATTATCAATTAGGTAATAGAGAAAGTTATTCTTTGAGGTGAAAAGCATTTTGTTTACGTTTCTCATTGTGGTATGGAACTCACAGGGAGCTCATTCCAGCAGATGCAAGTGTTCTGAACTGAAGATGACTGAAGGGGATTGAAAGATATGAGCTAACATTGCCAAATCTCCCCCGTGGGCGCCTATTTCCAAGAGATTAGAATTGTGTGTGTGTGTATATGTCTGTGTGTGCTTGTGTGTCATGTGTTTGCCCTCGTGTGGGTGTGAGGTTGATGAACCTTGTCAGTTTATGCCTTTGTTTAATCCTCTTGAGCGTCAGCCACATGATAAACCCATGAGTATGCACTTGTGGCGTCAAAGAGAGTCAAAGTATACATTTTGGTAATCTCCTGTTGGCAGAAACACAGGATACATGAATAATCCTGTAAGGTACAAAAAACAAACATTCAAACGCCCCACAAAATGACAGCAGAATAAGCGATATCAGGATCAGATAGGCTATTACCATCGCAGCGGAAAAATGCACTTGGTGATTCAAGGCCTGAAAACTTGATTCACATTCACTCCTAAGGGCAATTTCCCCAATCTCCAATCAACCTAACATGCAGGTTTTTGGACTGTGGGAGGAAGCCAGAGAACCTGGAGAGAACCCACGCAGACACAGGGAGAACATGCAAACTCCACCCAGAAGGGTCCTGGTTCCCTTCCCAAGGGCTGAGGTTTTCTTACTTATTTGGCGATGCAAAGCAGGGAAAGTTTCAAAAGCAGCAAAAGCAGGCTTGGATCGCCTGCTGGCAGAAGGAGGACAGGAGAAGCAGGAAGCAGGGCAGCGCTGCGGGAGACATGGTGCGGCGCAACCGGCTCACTGATTCATGGAGTTACCGCCTGCAGAGATACACACCTTGCTGTGAAGTTTGTTTTTGTATGGTCCTCACTGATGCATCAAATAGCCTGAAGTGCACTGTTAACCTGCTGGGGAACAGGGCCAGAGGGAGACAGACGGAGAATGGTCATCGCCGGTCACTGTGGAAGACACTTTCAGTGGGTACTGGAATGTGTGTACAGCATTGATTTTTTTATGTTGAATTTGTGGGTATAAGACAATGCATGTGCCAACGTTAGTTTCATTTAGTATATTTTCATGACGGCGATAATTTTGTGAACTGGAAGTTGTTCCATATTTGCTCCGTCAACTATCCTTTGTTCATGTCCTCCACTCCTTTAGACCTTTCATTCTCTTTGACCCTCGCCCCCATGAGTAAAAACTGTTTCTTCTCCTCAAAGACATGATTCTGTTTAATTGTATTGATCCTAAACCTTACTGGTATACTTATAAGTTTTCTTTTCATCAATACATTTGCAATTTCAATGCAACATTTCACTGATATCTTTAACTTTTGTATTGTGTGAACTGTTAAAACTGTTGTAAGGTGCACAACAAGTTAGTTATATTAACTATACTCCATAGTTGGGCACGCTTCCAAAAGCTTGTGTGTTTAATTCCTGGTTCTTTTGACCTCAAACAGCCTTTTTGTGGACGAATCCCATCAAGCAGTAACTCCTAAGAAAAATGGAAGGAATATACAGTATCACCACAGCAAAACACATGGACAAAGCAATAACAGGATTAACGCAAAAGGTAAAACCTAGCACTGCTCACCATTCCGAGAGCACCATCTACACAGTGAAGCATGGTGGCGGCAGCATCCTGGTGTGGGGATGTTATTTAGTGCTTCAGCAGCGCCAGGGAAATGGGTTGGATTTGGATGGAATGTGTTTTTTTGCAAAACTCTTAAAAAATCATGAGGAAATTCTAATTTAAGGGAGACTGTGTCTATGCTGGTCCACATTGTCACATAGAACTTGTTGGCTAAAAACATGTTAGTCAGAGGACCTCAAGCAAAAGTACGCATGTGGAAATTTTGGTACATTTTAGGGCTTTCTCTTATGCTTCATTCTTATCGTTAAATTCTTATCATTATTAATTCTTATCATTATCTTATCATTATCAGGATCTTTTTGCTGAGAGACTTTTGCACTGTGCACATTCTCTTCTGAGAAAAGTCAAGACAGCGTGAATAGCAGCTTGAATAGCTTGGATTACTGTGGCACAATAGAGCAGATATCGTGTTCGACCTTGTGCCAGAATGTTCACAATTCAAAGAAAGTAAATGACAGACATTACAGCTGAAAGTGGTAGAGTTAACTTTCCCCAAAACTGCGATCTAAAGTATGAAAGAATAAGAAAAAGGGAGTAAAATCATATCTACTAGTTAAAATGAAATGTGGAGGATAGTGACCATGATGATATTGAAGAAAGATGAAAAAATCAAAGTAGAAGATAAGTAAAGGTGGGTTGAGGGGATTCAGGAGGAAGGTAGATGAAATAAGAAATATATGTAGGTTGGCTTGACATACAATTAAGCACATTTCAATAAATCAAGTGATATAAGTTCATTTGATTTTATCATTATGAAGTTATATGTATAGCTTATTCACAAAAAAAGTATACCTGACCTTTGGTGAATTTGTTTTTTTATTAATTAGGAAGTGTTTGAATATAATGACAGATGACAAATCTGTCAGTTGATGTCATATTCAGTCATAAGACTTCCGACTATTCAGACTTCAATTATCAAATAAATGCTCTTACTATGAAACAAGAAGAAATGACTAAATAAATAAAAAATGCTTTGGGGATGGGGCTCTGACATCATCACGCACCATCAAGACAGTGACTAACTATTCTCATATGAAGCATCACAGCATCACTGTGCACAGGGAATTTCTCCCATTTTGATTGTTTGGTTGTCATAGAGATGAAGCAGTCGGCTGTGGTTACCGTTGCAGGGACAATCAGCTCTCCAGGCACTTCTTAATTAGATCATTGTTGGATGCAGATTCATGCGTATTCATGGTGTGTGCTGGAAAATGTGCTTGCACTTCGTATTCTTCACGCATCCATCTACTTTCATGAGATAAAACACTTCTACAACAGAAAATGATTTATAGGAGTCTAAAAGTGCTCCCCTGTGAGGGCCAAAACTGAGGTACCTGATGAGCGTCCACGTGCCCATCTCTCATAAATGAGACGTGATTCTTGCTAATGCTGAACGACAGAGGCCTGCGCCACTCTGACACCAGGTCACATCTGTCTGAGTCTGAGCCGTGTGGTCCCACTCACAACTCAGCAGGCACAAAGTCGGAGAGCTGCTTACACTTCACTTTATCTACACCTAGTGACAGCTGACCACAGTACACCCCGTGAGAGGATTTAATCCCATTAAATACTTTCCTTTGATTTGAAAAGTTCCAAGAGAAATTGACTTTTTTTCCCCTTTCTTTAATGACTAAATGAGAGATGTGGAAATGCAGCAAAGAACTACAAAATCTACATGTGTGTAAGTATATTTGTACTTTTTATGCCTGAAAAAAAGCCGCAGCCTATTTCTTTTTTAACATAAGGAAACTGGTGTCACATAAGGTAACATTCATAAAGTGTACAACAAAGA